GTATAATTTGAAAGGAGACTGAGACCATACCAGAGGCCACAACATCTTAGTATTAATATCTTCAAGCAGAATAATGTTACGAAAGTCAAAGGGTATTTGGACAGACGGTAACTCGATACATACGTTTAAGCCCTTGACTACTAAACTACCTCATTTCGTGACCGAAGTTGGATTGGTCTTGCCTGTTTAGATTATTTTCATTTTCCAGTATTTCAAATCTTGTCTTCCTCTATTCCTACATTTTCCCTCTCACACACACGCACATCCCGGCTCTCATTTTGTCTCCTGTACCTACATACGCTTGCGCATGAAACTTCTTGCAGCCGGATATTCGCCTCTCTACAAGTGGAAAGATGTTTTGCCGCCATTACGTCTCAGAATGCAGGGCTTACCTAAATTGCTATCGGTAGATATATAAAACTTTTTCCTTCCCGCTTCAGTAAATCAAACTAATTTATAAAAACTTTTCTTTATAAAAAATATTCTCCAAAGGGCCTAATCCTCATGATAATATTGTTTTAAATTGATTAATTGCGGCTAGTTTCTTGGAACATTGTAATCCTTGATGTTTTGCTTTGATGGTTTTTCAGCTACAAATACTTGGAATGACACCAGAATGTTTGGAACTGCAGAGCTCGGAACTGTGTCTCGCCGGATTGCTGATGGATCCCAAACCAAAGAGACGCTACAATCTAACCTGAATAAAGATACGCTTCGGGGGATACATGAAACAGTGGAAATAAAGAAATCAAGCTTAGGTTCTGAGATAGACCTCAATTTTATCGTAGTTATGAAGAACAAGATGGCACAATCTTTTATTTGGTCTTAGTCTACTTGAGCTGGATAATGTTGGCTTGAACTCCATTTTGCATTTTAGTCGGAGCGTCAGAAAGATCTTGCGGAACTTAACCAGTCTTACGTTCTCCGCCATAGTACTCATGGTGATAACCAACATCAGACCATGGACTTTGTACATTCCCAGACCTTATTGCTAGCATCGTCAGTAAGAGGCGCCATCTTTGGCGCAGAGTTATAATTCACCATAGTAACTTAATCCTAATGATGGCAACTCGCATTGACTATGCAGGCGAAATGTCTAGAAATGTACCAAGTAAGTTGTCTGATGTTGGAAATCCTCATCAATACTCTGACATAAGTCGCAGGACCAGGTATATTTCACAAGATCTCCCTGTCGTTCGGAACAAGTTGCGAAGATGAGGTCAAACCACTACTATAACTTAATTTATTTGGGATTTTACTAATAATTTATAGAGTAGTTTTGGTACCAATTTATTGTTTATTTTCAGACATTTTTGGTTATTATATCTATTTTTTGTTTGGAGGAGGACGTTTTAAGATATAACTTGAGTTTATGATGGCTAATCGTTTTACTTCCTATTCTATTCATTTTCCGGGTCTTGATATGCCAACGAGGAGCAAATACTCGTGGATGGCGGGGCCATCACCCAACCCTTGAACGAATGAATAACTAAAGTTTGATATGCTTTTCAACGCCAGATGACTAAAATTTTAGATAATATTTGCTTACTTGCATGAGTATTTGGTTTTCACTAAAGGTCATCCTTCTTCTCTGCAACCCATCCGACCTATTACAATCTCCCCCGTCGACATGCGCCAATTTCGAATTCAGCGAAGGTACGCCTAACTTTACCGACCCCAAGCTTCCCGACATGCGCCGGCTCTCGTATTTCGCTTCTGCCAATACTTGTCATGACCGAGGGGCCTGCATCGGGAGTCAGACATACACGACCAAAGGCAGAGCAGAAGTCCCGGAAGCTGTCAGGATACCAGGTTTGCTTAGCATCATCTTGATCTTTTGTCTTCACTAGCCTCATCAATAAGAGGTGCTGTAAAGACACCTCAACAGGAAAAAGTAGACGATACGAGCGCCAATCGTTTCTATCATGTTGTACTATGCATAGAACAGTCTCTTGAGGCCTTCCGCGAAGCCCCAATCTTCACACATCATTCACATGTGCTGTGAGTCATCTACCGTCTCTTGACAATCTTGCATTAACCACACCCCATTGGATCTACTGCTTCGTGACTTTGCGGATAACGAGCCCGTATTCTGGTAGGCACGTGACCCAATCCTTTGTCCCTTTGGAGGGCAGCAATTGAGGCTTACTGTACACACGCTTTCGCCCATCCATCTTGCTCCAATCACCTATTGCTCTTTCACCCATGAAATGCACCTCTCATGTATTAGCCCATCGTCAGCCTGCACCTCTTGTGGTTGAGCAACTGTGTATGTGCGAAGAAAAGTTGGGTTTCGAGGAATCTTTTGTTTCATAATTGTTGAGCCTGCTTCCCTTTCGCAAAAAAGTGTTTGGTAAAGAGACTTGAAGGTCGATCTCACCAGAAGCCGATGGCGAATGCCTCTTGACCAGCTGTCGATTAGCTTTACTGCAACATTCTTGCTGACGTTGTTTCCGAGGTAGCCTCCTTGGATTCCGGTGAAAACATGCTAAGCTTCATCCATCGTATGACGAATATCATCAGAGCAGGGCATCATTCTTACAACCATATTCAAGCCGACGGGTCAACAAGAATGTTCCAGTGAAGCCAATCGACAGTTGGTCAAGAGGAATCCGACATTGTTTTCTGGTGGGATCGACCTCCGAAGCTCTTCACCAAATACATTTGCTCGAAATGTAAATAAACTCAACAATTGAGCAACTGTCTACCTCTGTTGTAAAATAAATAAACTACAAAGGACGAGATTTCAGGGCCACAGTTTGATAGGAGCCATAGGACGATTTGTTGTAAAGCCCAGATGATGCGCAGGTTTACTTACCACTAAACCTTTCACTTTTATTCGTTTTTACTTAATCCTTATTTTAATCTAGTCTAATATTTTGTCTTTCTCTCTTACTGGTTGTATTTCGCTTACCAGAAACCACTGAGAACTTGGATCCTAACACTTATTGGTAGGTAGACTCTTCCATTTATCTCCATTGTCATTGCTTAATCTCTTTACCACTCTGTATTCTTTAAATTATTTTAAGCAATAGATTACTTTACTCGACTGTATGAAGACCAAGATTGTGTGGCCTTTGGCATGGTCACTGTCTCCCTTCGTTGTATAGAAACTGTTTGAACTTGTTATCACAACTTGGTCATATTTTCAGGGAAGCCTAGAGGAACACACCTTTTACGGAGTCCATAGTATCCATGATAACTTTCAGATTCGGGCCATGGACTTGGTACCTTTCAAAATGTTCTACCGGCATTTCAGAGAAACCAGTCTCCTTGACGATTTGTAATTTCCTGCTAAAATGATAGGTCGCACTGACGATGCCGAGTCCGGTGTGGCGAAACGTGTAGAGATGTCCCAAGTCTACGATCCGACGCTGGATATTATCGTGACTTTTGAGGCAGAGCATGCTGGAAAAGGTATGTTCTTCGGGGGCCCCCTGAAAATGTGACCAAGGTGCGAAAATAAGACCAGATAATTTCTACTTAATGAAACAAGACTGTGACCAGAATAGAGACCCAACAATCTTGATCTTCGTGCTTACATTTATACATATTTTTTGAATTAAGCATTGTTTTCGTGACTACCAGTAAATCAGTAATATGAGATGTATTCACCCAATTTTCTTAAAGGTGATGTTGACCGGTAGTAGAATTTTGGGAAAGCAAGGCTATGTGAAATTCACTGGAAACGTCAGCTCAACTCATATCATTGTGGGAAAA